GTAAGCGTTCAAGCAAACCACTTCTGAAGATGCAAGCCACTCGTGCTTGCGAAACGTCAGGAAGAAATTCTACCGAACGACGGCCTAAAAACCCGTTAGTCTGTAATCAATGTGTTTCCTGTTTCCTTCACATTTATGTAATTATCGCATTAATATCTAGTTGAGTAATTTATTAACAAATCAACTATTTTAATCGTATTGTTTTTACTGGCGAAGGTTACTGAGAGTAACCGCGCAAATATTGAGAAAGAGCTATCTTGAAGAACAATGAATTTTCGACATGATGAGCCACTCAAGATGATCTTGTTAAGTTTCTGCTCATTTAACACACTTACCAAAATCGACTGTCTAATRTGTTCATCCTCGCTCTGATAGATCAGATCGGTGCCATCATCCAGCAGCTTGGAAGCCAACATATTTTGCCCCAATAGATTCCGGAGGTAAATCTCSCCTTTGACGACGCTTTCAAAGTCTTTGGCCTTTAGAGTTATTGAGGTGCAACCCTCATTGTCTGCATTAGTGGGGCTTCCAAAGGAAACGCTCAGCAGATCAGTGCTGAGGGCTTCAATGTGCTTTCTGTTGCCGTTCACAATTACTTGGAACTGTTTTGAGTAAAGGGGCTCCTTGGAATATTGTTGAATGTGCCGTTTTAAAATCAGGTTTAGTTGGTCATCTATTGCAGCGGCTGTAACGATGAAAATTCTCTGCAAGTAGATAACTGGAGGAACGGCCTCTGCCCTGAGTAACTTCACTGCTTTTGGCCATAGCTGATCGGTGAATCTGCTCACTTCTTGTGATGTAATATTGGCTAGAGCTTGACTCGCACATTGAGTGTCTCCATTGAGCACAACAATCACTATGTCGTATAACTGGGTGAATGTCTGCAACTCACCGGCTAGCTGATGAACGTCCTCCTCCAACACAGTTACTTTTTTCACCTCAAGTCCACTATCTGTTAATAATTGCACGATTTTTCGCGGATTCAACGTAACATCGACTTGACCCTCTAGAAACGCTTGGCTGGGGATTAAGACAGCTGCTGACGCGAATTTCATGTTACATTACTCAGTGGGAAAATGCAGGGAAAACACGTTTAAGTGAACGACCCGACTTTCCCAGTGTTTAGTAACATTATAGCAAATTTTATCATTTCACCTCATTTTTATGGGTTTAGCAACTGAGCTTTGAGGTTACGTGTTATGTCAAAGACGGTCACATGGGTGGGTTGAGGCCCTGTTGCCAATGCTGCTCAGGGAGAGACTACAAAAGAGAGAGTACAAAAATTTAATTTAGTAAAACTTGCCAATTTATTGCTTATATAAAAATAAAAAGAGCAAACTTGATGCGGCCTCAAAACTTGTTTTTTTTGCAGGCTCGCGCTGAGTTTTGAGAATTATTTAAAGTGAGGCTTGCAACCAAATAAACCCGCCGTTATTCTAAAATTTATTAAAGCATGATTCATTGAGGTTGAAAAGCGCTTTGTAAGGCAATGAATAGAGCAAACTCCATTCTACCTGTCTCCAGAATTGGGGTTTGGTGCAGGCTCGGGCTGAATTTTGAGAATTACTTAAAGTGAGACTTGTAACGGCTTTTGCGGCCAAATAAACCCGCCGTTATTAAAAAATTCATTAAGTCAATAGTAATTGAGATTTATCAGAGATTTATGCGGCATGATATAGACTAATCTTCACTCTATGTCTTCTGCAAGTTTGGTTCTCTTGGTGCAGTGGGCTGAATTTTCAGAGCTGCTCGAAATGAGACTTGCAAAAATTTTTGTGACTAAACGTACTCGCCGTTATTCAAAAATTTCTTACGTGGAAACTAAAAAAGACTGAATAGCGTTTTATACGGAAATAATTAGGGCAGCATTCACTCCATGTGTCCTCAAAATTGGGGTTTGCTACTGGCTCGGGTTGAATTTTGGGAATTATTTAAAGTGAGACTAGTATTTAATGCGATATTTTGTCTGTTTCCGGGATATAACGGTTCGAACTACCTAAAAGCGGGTTCATGTTGGAGGCTTGTGCCCGCAAGCTTCCATCAATAACTCCTGTAACGGTCTGGATATTCAGTGATTAACGTTTATTTAATTTAACGTTATTATAACGATAAATTGGGGTTTACTGCTGGCCCGGGCTGAATGTTGGGAAGCCTTTGCACCTTTGAACGCAATGATGTATTTTTCTAAATTGACCACCCTATATATTTCAGTATCCCAACCACAGTTTCATTTTTATGTACAAGGGTTCAAAATGATGAAGATTTTCCATAATTTATAACGCGATAATAAATAACACCTAAATACTGATGACTGGGGCTAATGTAAGTCTGTACAGGGATTAGCCAAAAGAAACGACTTCCTTAAAACAGTTCCCATAAATTAGTAGTAATATGAGAGGTCTTTATCCCGGACGACGGGGTGTTGAGAGGGCGGCACGTCAGACCATGGGGGTTGATGAGGCGCATTAACTTGATCCTGGTATGAGCCATCTGTTGAGGAATCCGGCCTCTGTTGCTGGAAACTAAACGGCCAAGTCTAGAGGAAGAGAGATTTCATCAATTAGATCTATTGCGCCTCAACTGAGCCATTTATGCGCTTTTATTCAAATTTTGCTGTTTTTCCTTCGTTCAATTAATCCACATTTAAATGGTATGAAAACAAACCTGCCAGCTGTGTTTCGTTCGCTGTTCAGGCGCCTGCTTTATAATCAAAATACAATTAATACTAAATGACACGGACAAGGTGTTGACTGTAACGCATAACACGCGTGCCATAAATTTCTCATCTGGCCTGACACTGTTTTAATAATGTCCCTATGCTCTGTGTGCCAATTTGTTGCGTATTTTTTGCTTTCACTTTCTTCAGCCCCCTAAATAAAAAAGTAACTTTTTTTTTTCTAAAATTGATTGTGTCCAAACCTATTGAGGGAAAGAAGCGATTATAGTGGCAAAAAAAAGAGTAAACTTCGGTCTATGCTTTGTCGGAATTTGGTTTCATTAGAGGCTTGAGCTGAATTTTGAGA